GATCGTTTGTGCCTTGAAGAAGAAGCAAAGAATTCCTAGCAGCTTTGGGGACACAACATCTTGTCGTTGGACGGTATAACGGGTAAATTTAGAAGCTACTACCGTTGAGTGATCTACTGAAGGAGAGTTTTAATCTGAATTTGACAGAATTTGTCAGGAAGTAAAAATATGTGGTTCCATCGAAGGAGATCTAAATTTCTATCAGAGGAGATTCGGTAGAGTCCAGAGAAGTCAGATCATGGAGAATCGTAGGAATCAAAAGTCGTTTTTCATAGAGGGTGTCAATGTTTCATACTGGAACTAGAGATGATTAGAAAAAGTGGGTTCATTGTCTTCTATGGTGGTTTGCAGCTCCCAATATGGTGAAGAGAATGATGACATGCAAGGCTAATACTCCAATGTTCAAGTCAATCAGAAATTGAAAAGTGGAGTTCGAATGAGGAAGAATTTGAATACTTGTCAAGTGGTTCATTTTCCTTGTTAAATTGGGGAAATGGTTGCTAATTGCACGCAGGTCATCCGTTGGATTAATCTGAGTTGTTAGCATGATACTCTCGTGAGAGGTTATCTAAGACACGCGGGAAAATGATGCACTTGGTCTGCATTTAGTCACTTGTTACTCTATAATTGAGTCTTCGTCTTCTAAGTCTTGGAGACGGCCCAAACAATTGTGAAAATGCAAATGTGTAGTATAGTTTCTTCATCTCAATCATGATCTTTCTATTACATTTCTTTCAGGCTTAATTTCAGTTTTATCAAAACATAGGGAAAAACGATTTTCCCTACTAAAAATTATGTCTATGATTAAATTGAGGAGAAGTCTAGGTTGAAATTATGAGATGAGATCTCAAGCTTCGAATGTCAATTACTTGTACTAGAATAAAAACAAAAAATAGTAGTTGGTTAATGAGTAGTACATGGGATTGGAAACAGAGAAAAAAATGAGTGAGAAGTCACTAGTGCAGAAATGACTTTTTACATCGGGCAAAACTAACTTTTTACATCGGTTCTGGATCCGATGTAAAGTCAGGCGATATAGTAAATCAGGGACTTTTTACATCAGTTCTGGGTTCGATGTGAAAAAGACAACTAACACATCGGTTATAAGCTAAGCCTGATTTAAAAAACAATTATAAAATTATTTTAAAAAAAATTGATGCAACATTTTACATCGGTGGACCGATGTAAAAGATGCCATTTTTACATCGGTTGTGCTTCTCGCCCGATGTAATAGATATAATTTTGACAATTTTTACATCGGTTGGAAGTAATGACTGATGTAAAATGTAAGCAATTTTTTTTGAATAAATTTTTTATTTTCTGGATGGTTCCCTGTAAAAAAAAATTGGTACCAATTTTTTCATATTTTTCCAATATCATACAGACTATATTTAGGTCGCTATATATATGTCATAGCTTTCAAACATCACATAGACCACATCTAGGTCGATATTTTCATATTTTTCACAACAAACTTACAAAATGAACAATTGTATTGCAAACTTGAATTGTATCACAACAAAAAAACTCACAACAAACTTACAAATATATATTCTTCACAAAACATACAAAAATATTCAACCATTTATAAGCCTTTTTCCAAACTTGAATTACCAATATAAAATCCACAATTAGATGAGTTATAGCTTCAGACAACACCAAAATCACATTGCCTGATAATAAATAATAACAATTAACATCAACAAAAAATATCAAGAAACTCAATACATGTGCAAAAACCACATGTAATGTGCAAAAACTCAATAATAACAATTATGTGCAAAAACCACAACTTAGACAATTCTATAAAACTCACCAGATAAAGCTTAATTTTTATATAATTCAAAGAAACATTTTGCCCAACGTAGTCGCAAATCATACAAATCATCTTGTGTTAATTCTGTTGAGTCATCAAATACCTATAATACATAAATATAACAATATAGAGTTATTCTTTAAAAACTCATATTAAGTTGCAAAACACAAAGTAAATAAAAAAGTAAAGTTATTTTTATTTCCTGCATCCAATTCTTGGGTATATTGGCAGAGACAATATCCAACATACTTTTCATCACATAATACCCACAATCATTAGAGTTATGTTGTTGCCTTGTCTATAATTGAATGACATAATTAGTGAATATTTATCATAAATTTAACTATATAATTACAATTTACATCACACTTACACTGGGATGAAGCCATGTAGCCTTTTTTCTTTTTCCATTTTCCATTTGATGAATCCCAAAAGAACTAATAAAGAAAGATAAATATCACATAACTAAATTTACTCGCCAATGAAAAATCACATAACTATTAATTGCCAATGAAAGTCACATGAAAGATAAACTTACTTTGTAATAATTTTCTTCGTGTTCTGGTCAATTTTCTGATAAAGTGAACAAAATACGACAACTAAATTGTCTCTTGGACACATGACTATTAATTTCCAATGTCTCCTGTACGTGTGTGGAAACAGAAAAGTCACATAAAATATATATGTTATCAAAATTAAATAATATAAAATATAATTTCATAAAAATTCTTGCTCATGAATTAATGGTAGTAAGTGGCACACTATGTTTTCATCACATAACTTTTCTAGTATGTAATTTTTAACATCCTCTTCAGATTTCACTCCATTATCATTATAAATACACCTAGTAGGATCCATAAAACCATATAATTCTGAAATGGAATTCTCAAGACATACACGATGAATATACCTGAATAACTTTAAAATAAACATTAGAATCAAAGTGATGAGAGATATAACATATTAATAGAGATTGACTTTAATAAAACAATAAAATATACTTACGTGCTCCAAATTTGCAAAATAGACACGTCAAGCCAACAACCTAAATCCACCAATAACTCTCTGATACACTTAGCTGAAATATAAAAATTAGAGACACTCGCACAATGACTTAATTGTATTTCCAAATGGTTGTCATCCATTTTCAAAACCATGAGTAACAATCTCTGAACATCATCAACTTCCACGTCTTTTGTGCTTTCTTTTGTGCTTCCTGTTGCAGCTGAACAACTTCCTTTTTCCACTTCCATCGATAATTTCCATTTTTTAATGCATTTAATATTATTTGTGCTTTGTGATAAACCCATAGACTTAAGTGTCTCCATTAATGATTGTTGAAACATCTTACACTCTTCAACCAACTTTTTTTCAAGTTCAGCTCTAAGTTTTGTTTCCAATGTTGTAAGTTGTCCATTTACGTCAATATGTTGTTGTTGATGTGACCTTCCAAAGTAAGTGCTTTGTTTATGGCGTTTTCCAACACCACAAACACGACCTCAATGCTCAGATGTTCCAATGGCTGATGTTAAGATATTGTTATGTCCATCCGGAACAACGACACCTTTTTCAGCCTCTTGAACTAGAGAATCCTACAAAATGCAAAAACCACAATTAATCAATCACAAATATAATGATACTTGAAGTATTTTTTATTGTTTACTTACAATTTTTTCAGCAACCTCTTGTGTAGATTTTGATGTGTATTCTCCTCCTTTCTTTTGTCGTGCTCTCTTCCATAACTCATGGCATGATGGTGGAGATGGACTACCATTATCATCTAATGTAGAATTATCTCTCGATGATGACTTTTCTTTCATAATTTTCTCCTCAAGCAAGCAATACCCACAAGGAGACAATAAGACTGGAAGACGGCGGCCTGTGATTGACGTCTTTGTGCAGGACGAGGCGGATCTACGAGGAGACGGCAGAGGGCGGAGCAGAGGGCGTTCGTAGGCGGAGACAGACGGACTGTGTAGGCGGAGCGAAGGACAAAGAGATGGTTTTGAGGAGAGAATAAAAAGGAAATGTACAGCAGTGAGAAGATAGGGTTTATTTCTTAAATATATATTAGAGTTTTTACATCGGTGGAAATTTTAGCCCGATGTAAGTGTTTCGTCACAATCATGTTTTTACATCGGTGCATATCAATTACCGATGTAATGATTACGTTTTCAGGTTTTTTACATCGGTGGATCGCAAGGCCCGATGTAAGGGTTTTCAGGTTTTTTACATCGGTGGACCGCAAGACCCGATGTAAGGGTTAGCGTGTTTTTTATTTACCAATCCGCCACCTAGTTTTTTATTTACAAAACTGCCACCATGTTTTTTTATACAAAACCTTTTACATTGGTGGATTAATTGGCCCGAAGTAATAGCCAGCGCAAAATATTTTTTTAATATTGTTTATATCATTACAAATAAATACCTAATGTAAAATCTTTTTAATTTTATTTTTTATATTATATATTTTTATATCTGATGTAAAAACCTTTTCTTAAATGTCATTTTTTTAGCGGTGAGTTTTCAACAAACAATTTGAATTCATTCTATTGGAACATAAAAAATTAAAGAGAAACTAGTATTTCCATTCATTGATGCTGACTTTGGTGGGGCAGAAACTCCAAGGATTGGTGTTGAAGTTTATCTATCTAAGCTTGAATGTATTTTAAAGGAATAGAAGACCATATAATATTGACTGAGAATAAGAGAGAAGTAGTCAGCTTGAGTCAATTTGAATTATTATGAAAAGGGACTGCACATGATTGACAATTGTGTGTATTGTCATTATTCATATGCAATTAATCATTCAAAGCTTGCTTGGGATCTAAGTACTTGTTCAACTTCAATTATTTTGAACATTAGTGTCAATAGTAAACCATGTAAACCACTTCTTCCACTTATACTTTATCATGCCATTTCACTAATAATCACAAACTCATTTTATTATATCATTAATTCAATCCCTTAATTTTAAATGCTATCAATATTAGTTACCTATGTGACAAACATTTAACACAATTTTAGTGATCAATTCGAATGTCTCGCATATTGATTAAGAACTTAGAGAATTGAAGTATAAATTTAGACAGCATCAGATTGATTAAGAATGTACTTATTACATAAAGAAAATGTAAAAGAATAGTCTTGCAAGTATCGTATTATACAAATCAGTATACAAAACTTAGATGATGACACAGCTATTAGGATCCTCTTCAACACTAACAGCACTGTAATAAGGATTGTATTGTGGTTTCATTTGATGATTGTAATAGCCATGTGTTCCATAGAACATGAAAGGATTAATAATCACATTTTCTTTCTTATCATCTTCCTTTTTTTTAGGTTCTTCTTTCTTTTCCTCTTTAGCTGGTCCAACAGAAATGATTTCAGCATGACAAAACTTCCTTAGCTTAGCAACTACACATACTGGATCGATATCTCCTATTAAGGTTAATTTCTTGTCTTTCATGTCCATTGAAACTGACTCAACCCCTGAAAGCCCAGAGACTGCCTTCATTGCTTTTTGCTTCATTCTGTCTTCATTTATTTCCAACTTTAACACAACTTTCTGTAACACAACAAATTAACTAGTTTTTAGGACAAAGCAAAGCTTGAAATTTAAAATAAGATGAAGAAAATAATAGAGTGGTTTTAATCAGGGTAAATAAGTAACTTACCATCATTGTTATAGAAGCTTCTGATATCTGAGATAAGAGCTATACGATGCAAGTTTTGAAATTGAAATGAAGTTATGAAGTGAAGATGATTGTTAGAGGGTTTTTATAGTAATGAAAGAAGAGTGATTGATGAGAGAGGAATGGTCAACGTAACAAGTCAAGACAAATAGTGTGTGTGTGGTTTTCTACGAAAGTTAATCAGCAGAAATAGAGGACCTTTTCCAATATATCGTTCCTTCGTGGAACACTGGAACCTACATATACCAAATTTTTGTGTGAACTCTATTATTTTAGATACGACCGGTTCTATGGTGGACCTAAACTCGACTGATACTTAGAGTACTGGCATTTATATAGGAGAAAGTTATTTTAACACCTCAAAGGTGTCTCATACACTGTATACAAGTAGTCTCGTTGTTGTTTTTGCTAATGATTTGTTCTATTTTAAGATCAAATAAAAGTTATTTTACATGAATTTTTTCTCGTGTAAACAAGTATCAATAGGCTAGCAACTATAAATAAAATATACACAGATATAAATATATATAAACAAAATACTTAAAATGATAAAAATCATCGCAATATCTTTAAAACGTGAAGAGAAAATTGGTGAGTGGACTTTAAACTATTTTTTTTATAAAATGTCTAACTAATTTTCAATATGAGTACAAAGTGATTTATATAGAAAATCACAAGATAGAATAATAAAAGTTACAACATTAACTATTTCTAGGTCCCTAAGAAATAAACTTCCCACTGCCCAAAGGGAATCTGTCTTTTGCACTACTAAAGACAAATTTGAATTTAACCAACAAAACTCCCTCATAACTTCAAATATTCATTCGATCCATCATGCCTAGTATTTTCTTGTCTCTGTCGAATAGCTCCTTCGACATTGGTTTTGTAAGAATGTCTACTGCTTGATCTTTGCTTGCAACGTGCTTCAGTTCGATGCTTCCATCCTTACATGTTCTCGAATAAAATGGAATCGAACATCAATGTCTTGCTTCTTTCATGGCTGACTGGATTCTTTGCCAGTTCGATTGCAGATTTGTTATCGACTTGAATTATTGTTGCGTCTTTCTGTTTCGATTCCATCCTGCTCAGCAATCTTCTCAGCCATATTACATGGCATACGCACCAAGATGCTGCCACATACTCTGCTTCACATGTCGAAAGAGTTACTATGAGTTACTTCCTTGACAGCCAGGTGAATGCAGTGTTTCCATGAAGAACACGTATCCTGAAGTGCTCTTTCGATCATCTATGTCACCACACCAATCGCTGTCCAAGTAGCCAGTCAACTTGTATTCTTCTGCTTTTGAATAAAACATTTCAAGTGACACAGTTCCTTGGACATATCGAAGGATTCTCTTCAGAGCTTTCCAGTGTGCAAAAACTGGTTCTTCCATGAAACGACTCACAATCCCAACACTCAGCTAAAGATCTGGCATTGTGCATGTGAGGTATCGAAGACTTCCCACTAAGCTTCAAAGTTTGTTTGCTTCGACATGCTCTCCCTCATCAAATTTCGAAAGCTTTTCTCCTGGTTTCATTGGAGTCGAAATTGGATTGCAACTTTCCATTTTAAATATTTTAAGGATATCTTTTGCATATTTTTCTTGTGAGATGAAAATTCCTACTTCTTCTTATCGAACCTCCAGACCAAGAAAGTATTTCATCAGGCTTAAGTTTGTCATCTCAAATTCTTGTGTCATTGTGCCTTTGAATTCTTCTATCATCTGATTATTGTTGCCCAAGAAAATCAAGTCATTAACAAGAGAGCAACAAGCAACATTTTCTCTTTTTCCTTCTTCACATACAGGGCATATTCGTAGGGACATTGTTGAAATCCTTTTTCTTTGAAGTATGTGTCAATTCTTGTATTTCATGCTCGTGGTGCCTGCTTTAGCCCATAAAGTGACTTCTTTAGCTTTAGCACATTTCCTTCATTTTCAATTTTCATGTATCTAGGGGGTTGTTTGATATAAACTTCTTCTTCGAGCACACCATTCAAAAAGGTTGACTTGACATCCATCTGATATATTTTCCATTTGTATTGAGCAGCTTGAGATATGAGCAGTCGAATTGTTTCCATTATCGCAACAGGTGCAAATACTTCATCATAGTCGATTCCTGCTTTCTGCTTGTATCCTTTCGCCACAAGTCGCCTTGTATCTTTCGATTTAACCTTGTGCATTTATCTTTTTCTTTAACACCCACCTCACACCAATTGTTTGACTTCCTTTTGGTAACTATGCTAGTTCTCAAGTATCATTGCGTTCGATGACCTTAATTTCTTCATTCATAGCATCCTTCCAATTTTTGTTTCTTATTGCTTCGTCAAAACTGACATCTTCAGTGTCTGCCAACAAATATACGAGATGCACTTCTTCTGTGTTTTCATACAAGTCTTGTAAACTTTGCAACTTGGGCTATGAGAGTCCTTCTTCATCATCAGAGTCTTCTAGTTCTGCAGAAGTGTTTTTGATATAGCATCTAGTAATTCGACCATAACTTCAGTTGAGTTGTTCCAGTCCCACTTGCTTCCTTCGTTTAGTCGAACATCTCTACTCACTATCACCTTTTTATTTGTTGGGTTGAAAAGTCTGTAACCTTTCATTTTTTCATCATACCCAATGAGTATGTATTTATGACTCTTATCTTCCAACTTTGTTCTTCTTTGATCAAGTACATGTGCATAAGCCCCACTTCCAAACACTTTGAAGTGAGACACAATTGGCTTTCATACGCTCCAAGCTTTTTGAGGTTTTAAATCTCCCAACTTCAAATATGGACATTTATTCTGAACGTAGATTGTACATTGTACAACTTCTTCCCATAATTCCTTCGACGTGTTCTTTCTCTTAAGCATTGATCGAACCATGTCAAGGACTTTTCGATTCTTTCTTTCCACCACACCATTTTATTGAGGTGAGTATACAACAGTCAGAAATCTCCTTATGCCTTGCTCTTCACAATACTTCATTAAGGCTGTCGGAGTATACTCCCCACCTCTGTCTGATCGAAGAGCTTTGATGTGCTGGTCTGTTTCTTTCTCCACAATTATCTTAAACTTGTTGAATACTTTGAAGGCTTCTGACTTTTCTTTCAGAAAATACACCCAAGTTTTCCTTGCAAAATCATCAATAAAGGATATAAATTACTTTTTTCCACTAAAGGATTCTGGGGTAATTGGTCCACATATGTCAGTGTGAATCAATTCTAGAATTTGTTTATCCTGATATTCTGCCTTCGATTGAAATAAGGTTCTCATCTGTTTTCCAAACACACATTCTTCACAGAACTTTCCTTAGAATTCCACGTCTGGCAGTCCATGCATCATATTTTTCTTTGCTAACCTCCTTAGTCCATCCTGATGTAGATGACCAAAGCCTAGATGCCACAGGGATGCTTGGTCTTTGATATTGACTTGTAAACACTTTTTTCGAATGCTTCTCAATTCAACTTGTACATTCAATTTCTCCCCATTTTGACTTTAGCAACCAGACGTCCTGACTTGTCTTTTAAGTGCAAGCTTCGATCTTCCATGAGAATTGAATAGCCCTTTTTTGTGAATTGTCCCAGACTCAAAATATTTTTCTTTGAGGTTTGGTACATAGTACACATCTTGGATTGATCCTAACAAATCATCCTTCTGCAAGAAACTGATTGTTCATTTTCCTTCGACCCTTACTTTCGACGCATCTCCAAAGGAAACATGAGCATCCTTAATTTTATTTATTTATTTGAACAAGTGCTTATGATCATACATATGGTTACTTGCTTCTGAGTCCAGGTACCACACAATGTCATTTTATGCATCTGCTTTCTTTTGAATAATTAACAGAAGTCCTTCATTCGATTCTGTTTTTAGGGCAAGATTTGTTGTTTCTTCTATCTTTCTTCTGAGTCGACAATATTTTATAAGATGTCTCATTTTACCACAGTTGTAGCAATTATAGGAGTTGCAATCTTTTGCATAGTGCCCATGTTTATTACATTTGTAACATTCAATATTGTTGTAATTCGACCTACCACCTCTCTGGCCACGTCCTCTATCACACTAGTTTTGTTGGCTTGACTATCCTCTATCGAAGTTGTTATTTTGGTAACTTTGACCACCATTACGTCTTCCACGACCATGTCCTATCCCACGCCAATTTTGAGAGAAAAGTGCCTTTTCGTCTCTGTTGGGTTCTGCATACTCAAGTGTCTCCTCTGTTAGAAAAAGATTAGTTCTGATCATATCTCATAGTTTTGATGATAACAATAAATTATATTTTAGATAATTTATACTCTGATGAACGTATTTGAATGTTTCAGATAATGTTCTGTTAGAAGCATTTTGATGTGCTGAGCTAAAAATTAATGAAGAAGTTCTTTGATGAAAGAACTATTTGCTTTAAGCGCAACTGCTGTTGCTGACTCTGGTAAGACAATTATTTTTAAATGCATCTTCTAACACTTAGCAGGATTCCTTGTTCGGAAGATTACTTGAAAGTAAGTGTTGTTCAGAAGTTTATTTGAAAGCAAGCGCTGATCAAGTTCTTAGCAAGCAAAACATTGTTTAGAAGATAAGCAAGCATGTTCTGAATTCAAGACGTTGAAGCAAGTTCTGAAAGAATGTAAAAGCCAACTTGTCTTGTTAAGCTTCAAGAAACATGTTCTTACAAGTGTCGTTTGCTCATTTAATGCAAAGAAGGCTATATGCACTCAAGTGTCTACGCTAGTGCATTGAAAAATAGAATACTACAAGGAAACACGCAAGCATTTAATGCTCTCCATTTGAAGGCAACAACTGTCATTTTTTCTCATGCTATATATAGAAGAACATTAATTGCAAGCCAACTACCGTTCTAACGCAAAAACGCACTATTGCTAAAACGCTGAAAGATTGAACATCTGAAGTTCTGAATAGAACTAAATTAAAAGAAGCAAAAGCTATGCAAAATATTCTTGGCTCACAAACAAATTTCATACACTTTGTGCTAAAATATTCTTAG